GGGGGGGGATTCGGGGGGGTTTTTGTGTGTAAACCCGGCGGTTCCCGTCTACGGGGTGCCGCCGCGGGCCTCCAACCGCGGCTACAGGTGGGGCCTGCCCCTCTCCCGTGGCCCCTGTCCCGCTGTCGGGCGCCTCTGCCCCGCCTTGGGTTACATGGCGCCTGTCCCTTCCCTCCCCATGGGGTGTCTGTCCCTCCTGTCATGGTGGTGTGGGGGGGTTCGCCCCCTCTCCATCAGGTGTATGGGACCTGTCCCCCGCCGTGGGGCAGCGAGGCCTGCCCCTCATGAGGTATCTCTGCCCCCCATCCCGGCCCCGCGCCCCCAGCGGGGTATCTCCATTCCCCCCCGTATTTCGGGGCTCCTGTCCCGTCAGCCTTCGGACCAGAGTAAAGGCTGGCCTGGCAGAGCCGGGCTGTAGCTTAACGCAGCTCAGCACCTCCGAGAAACTGGCTTTCGAGCTGGAGATCCTGCAGAAAGGGAAGCGAAACCTCTTGTGCAATTCTTGCCTGCTCCCCGCCGGGACCTGGCGCCTGGTTTTGCGGGGGTTGCAGCTGGTTTGGGGTGAAATGGGAGGTGTCGTGATGAATCTACCTCATTCTGCAGTGAGTGTGGGTGCAAGCGGGTTCTTGCGTGCGCTGCTTCTGTGCTGTTAATGAGGGGAGTCGAGCAAACGAGCTCCGTGGCGTGTTCTGGGGGCATTAAAATAGATGGGTGGCGTTGTTCGGGATGTGACAGGCGGCTCAGACATCGGTCGCCGTTTCCTCTTTCTCCAGAGCTGCAGGCGGGGGGGCGGCGGCCCCAGCCGGCGTGGAGCGGCAGGCTGCGGATCACCGCCAAGGGCAAGATTGCGTTCATTAAGCTGGAGGACAAGACCTCAGGTAAGGAGGAGGGAAGACGACGGCTCCGTGCCTCTTCGTGGGGAGGAAGACGGCACAGAGACGCTACGTCCTGGCATTAACCCACTCCCGTTTCTCTTTTTCAGGAGAGCTTTTTGCCCAGGCGCCGGTGGAGCAGTTCCCTGGCATCGCTGTGGAGAGCGTGACGGACTCCAGCAGATATTTCGTCATCCGGATTGAAGACGGGAACGGTACGTCGCGATACGTGGGGAACGGGTTGGGGGAATCACCTCAGAAAGTCTTCAGTGCCCTCACTGCTCTTGTTTGTGAAGGATCCCTGCTTTCAAGGGCTAAATGTTTCCTGCATACGGTGGCAAGGGAATGAATTATCTTGCTCCCACGCACCAGCCGCGCTCTGTCCTTCACCAGGGATAAAAACAGTTTAATTTTGCTGCTTGGTGTTAGTGCGAGGACGCCTCTGCGTGCAGGATCATCATCGTGATGCCAACCTCTGCTTTGGCTTGCTGATATTAATTTAAAAGCTGGTTTTACTAAGCCTGTACGTGCAACCAACAAGCTAAAGATATCTCCAGTCCCATATCTCAGTCTCTGGAGTCCCAGCTGGAGGCACGGCCGGGTGTGGGATGGGATATCCCCTCTCTCTTCCTCCGCTGCTTTGTGATTCCAGCCCTTACTCTTCCTCCTCCCCCAGGCCGCCGGGCTTTCATCGGAGTCGGCTTTGTCGACCGAGGGGACGCTTTTGACTTCAACGTGGCTCTCCAAGACCACTTTAAGTGAGTTCGTGCCTCTCCCCGTGTCCTCTCCGCTTGACTTTTTTTGCAGCTGTCCCCCAGAAGCGGTGGGGGAGAGGAAGCTGCGAGCTCCTACCGCGCTTGAGCGGGCAAGCGTGGTGTAAATAGGTGGAAACGCCTGTTTCTCTGCGCAGCCTTTGTGCAGGCAGCTCTCCCTCTCACAAATGTTTCCCAGCAGGCTCCCAAACTGGGCTTCCCAGTCCAAAATTGGGCAAATTCCCTTATTCCTTTTCATTTTTTCACGTGCCATCGGTAAGGGGCTGCTCCTGAGGGGCTGGGATGCTGCTCCAGCTCCTGGCAGGTAGCGGGGCTTTGGGGCAGGACAGAAGGCGCTGCTGGCTGGAGGATCCATGCGGCGGGTAGGAATCGTTCCCCCGGTGCTGCCCGGAGCGCGTCGCTCCGTCAGGCAAGGTCTCGGATCACGTTCAGCGCCTTTAAAGAGCTGCTGCCAGGCAGAGGGGATGATCTTGGGCAGGATTTGTCTGGGAGAGCCTCAGGCTCGTGGCTGATGTGTCCTTTTCTGCTTATTTAATTCCTGCAGATGGGTGAGGCAGCAGAGCGAGCTGGCCAAACAGGCCCAGAACCCCGACCAGGGACCCAAACTGGATCTGGGCTTCAAGGAGGGGCAAACCATCAAACTCAACATTGCGGTGAGGGGCTTTTCCGGCTAAATCTGCTCCCGACTTTCCCCTTGGGTGGCACAAGAGGAAGCGGTGGCTTCGTCCCGAAATCCCCGTGCAGGGAGAAGCCTGGTGCAGAGCCCTTCGTGATAACGCTGCGTGCAGCGGTTTGCAGAGGGGTTGTGTTATGATTCCCGGTTACAGAACCGGGTCTTTGGGTTCGTGGTGGGGATTTGTGGGTAAAAACCATCCTTGGTTTGACTCCTCTTCCTCCTCCAGCAGCGGGACATCGCAGCACAGCAGTTTTTTCCCCCAGAATAAAGCAATTTGGCTTCGTGCAAGCCGTGGCTGGGAGGAATCACGCTTCGGCTCTGGATTTAAACATGATACCACCCAAATATCCCTCTCTTTTTTCAGAACATGAAGAAAAAAGAAGGAGCAACGGGGAACACCAGACCGCGTCCTGCGGGTCCTGGGGGTCTGAGCTTGCTCCCACCGCCTCCCGGAGGAAAATCTTCCGCTCCGGTTTGTCCTTCCGGAGAGCGGCCGTCTTCGCTCTCCGCGCCCACCCAGCTCCCGGGCACCCCCATCACAGGTCCGTGGTCACGCAGCGATGACTGTAAAGCTCTTTAGAGTCAGTTTTATCCATCAAAGTTGGGAAAACAGAGGGAGAATCTGGGAATAAGAGTGGGCAATAACTCCTGATGTTTGTTTTCTCTCTTCCTGACTGCCGACAGACTCCCTCTTGTCCTGGCCGCAGCCCGCTGCTGCTCCCTCTGCCGCCGCCGCCGACGTCTGGGGAGACTTTGCCAAAGCGTCAGGGTGAGGCCGTGTGGGGTTTGTGTGTGGCACGGGCGATCCCCGCAGCGTTAGAAAACCCTCATCCGGACCAAATCCCGCTGGTTTTGCTGAAAACCCCTGCTGGGGCGGGGGCACCGCTCCACCCAAACACCCGGGTGGGATTTAGAAGCGGCTCTGACAGCGTCTGTTGCAAATTCCCCGAGTTGAGCGCAGCTCCGTGGGCACTGCCTTCCTCTTCCTCCCAGCGCCGGCGGCGTGCCCCGTCTTCCTCCGCTGCTCTGGGCTGCTCTGTGCAGCAGGGAGAGTTTTGGGGCGACCCCGGGGACCCATTTCTGGCTGCCCAGCTCCCTCCCTGCGTCCCCCAGTCCCTTTCAGGGTCTAAAACCTCTTTTTTCCCCTCCTCTTTTTCTCTCTGTCCAGGTCAGCTTCTAACCCGACTCAGGCAAACGCAGGCTGGGTTCAGTTCTGACCCCAGCTCCTCATCCGCTCTTCCCCGCACGGGTGCTGGGATCGTCATGATTCCTTCGGGACCAAAGCAGGGGCTTCGGGACACCCCGCTCCTGCCCTTAAATCCCCCGCGGCATCGAAATGCTGAAATAAGTGCCGGAGAGCAGACAAACGTGCCTTAAAACACTCTGCACCAGCACCCTCCGCGTCGGGGGGCCTTTTATTTTCTACCTGGATCGCAGCAAACCTCTGAGGCTTCTCCTTTCTGCAAAAAAAGCCGTCAGCTTCATCGCCTCTCCTTAATAACGAGAGGGCGGGCGAGCGCTCAGAGCAGGACTCTCGCTCGCAGCGCTGCCCCAATTAGGGTAATTTTCCCTAAAGGTTGATGCGATGGAGCCTCCTCGGAGATTTCTCTGCTTTCTCCTCGCATATTTGGGCTGGATAAATCCTTCCCTCGGCGGGGAGCGCCCTCCCGGAGCCGTCTCACCCGCAGAACCCTGCCGAGACGTCGAACGTCGCCCCGATTTTATTCTAAGCGCTTAAGCCTCTGCGATGCGGGAGGTGGGGAGCCCGATTGCTGCGTTTCGATGCTGAAATTCCTCATTTCTTGCTCTGGGAAGTTTGGTTGTTTGGGTTTTTTTTCCCTCCTCTATTTTGAAGACAGATTTTTTTACCTCTTCCTGCGGACGTTTTATTAAGCAATATATGCAATGAAAGACAGAACGGAGTCGGTCTCTTTGACAGAGCTGGGGTTGAGATTCTTCTTTAAACAAATAAATATTTTCTTACCTATTTATATGAAGGCCTTTCAGTGTACAAAGTCCTGCTTATTTTTTTCCAGTGCCTCGGATTTTTATTATTTCCATTTCCAACTGGATGACGAGCGTTTTGATTTCAGAGCTTAACTTTGCCTGGCAGCGAGCGCGCAAAACCCAGGTGAGAGATGTAACACTTCAAAGCAAATAATAAAATGGTTTTGGTGCCAAATATGAATTTTTTTTACCTCCCCGTGTGGGCTCGGAGGGGCCGTGAGGAGATTTTGTGGTTCCCCCTCCTTGCTGGTGTCGAGGAGACGGTGTCGGACAGCGCAGCACAACAGACGCTTGTTGCTTAGCAGTGGTTTTATGGTTGGGAAGGACTCCGGGAGGGGAAGGTAAGGAAAGAAAAGGGGGGAAAAAAGGGGAAAAATAAGTTTTTTTGCATCCCCAAAGTGAGGGGGGAGCCTTGAAGCAGCTCCCGCTGGGCCGGAGGGACCTGAGATGCCGTAAATCCTTGATCCCATCTGCTCGCTCCGGTGCTGTCTCCCCGACGCCGTTAATCTGCGGCTCTCGGGGAGGAGAGCGGGCGCTTTCCCGGGCTGCGGGGTTGGGAAGAGAGCGGCTGGGAGACGCCGACCCTCTCCGGAGGGCGGCTTGGGGTTGGATCCGTGAATGATTTCGGGAGCGGGGATGCCTCCAGCCCCTGGTGCGGAGGATTTGGAGCTGGGGTTGGGGATTTACTGGCGGTTTTCCCTGCTGGGGTGGGGGCAGAAAGCCCCTAAATACCCCAGGGGGTAACATTTGCTGCCCCGGGGGGGCTGCGGAGGCTCCGGCAGCGGGGCAACGCATCCCCGGGGGGGTTTAATGCCGCTTTGCCCCGTAGCAACCCTGGCACGCTCCACCCCAAGGCTTTTCCTGCCAGAGCAAACCCCTGGCCTTTAATGAGCTTAACGAGAGCCAGGATTTAACGAAAGGGCTCCTAGGAGCTCCTTTCCCCTGTGGGAGCCAGCACCATCCTGCCCGGGGGGCACAGCGCAGCAAAGTAAGCACATTTCCACCGATTTTGGGCACGGGGAAGCGCCGGGCACTGCTGTTTTTTATATTTTCCTTTCTTTTGCTCATTCCCCTCCCGCCAAGAGCCTCCTCGGTTGTTTTTATTTACAAAGCCCTGCTGGGCTGGGGGAACGGTCGCGGATGTTTCTGGTGGTGGGTGCTAAAACCTCCTTGCTCGCGGCCTCGCTGGAGGCGTTGGGACCCCCACGAAGCCCCCAAAATCCCAGGAAGGGGTTTTGGGGCGAGGAGGCCGCGGCAAGGGGGTGCCAAGGGCTCGGCGGACCCCCGTGGGGAGCCCATGAGTGAACCGGAGCCCACGGCCGAGGCTGTGGTTGAGGTGGGTCCCCCCCACAGCGGGAACTGGTGGCTGCTCTCGCGGGAACGGCCACCGAGCCGCGGCGGGGGGGGGAAGGCGTTGGGTTTGCCATTGCAAATGGCACTTTTTTTGCAGCGGGTTTTGCGAGTGCAAATGGCACTTTTGTGATGGCGAGTGGCCAGTCGGCGGCGGTTTTGTGATTGCAAAGACAAATTTGCGGAGGTTTTGCAATGGCAAACGTAAACCTGCCGTGGTTTTGTGAGAGCAGCTCTAAATGTGCAGTTCTCTTGTGATGGCAAACACAACTTTGCAGCGTTTTGGGGATTGCAACTGCAAATCTGCAGTGGTTTTGTGATTGCAACTATAAATCTGTAGTGCTTTTGTGATCGCAAATGCAAATTTGCAGAGGTTTTGCGACTGCAAACATAAATCTGCAGCGGTTTTGTGAGAACTACTATAAATCGTCAGTGCTTTTGTGATTGCAAACAACTTTGCAGCAGTTTTGTGATTGCAAACGCAAATTTGCAGCAGTTTTGTGATTGCAACTGCAAATCTGCAGTGGTTTTGGTATCATAACTGCAAATTTGCAGCAGTTTTGTGATTGCAGCTATAAACCTGCAGTGCTCTTGTGGTCACAAACACAGATTTGCAGAGGTTTTGTAATTGCAAACATAAATCTGCAGTGGTTTTGTAAGAGCAACTGTAAATCTGCAGTGCTCTTGTGACTGCAAACACAACTTTGCAGAGGTTTTGCAATTGCAAACATAAATCTGCAGCAGTTTTGTGATTGCAGCTGCAAATCTGCAGCGGTTTCGTGATGGCAAACAAGTTCACAGCGGTTTTGCAATCATAACTGCAAATTTGCAGCGGTTTTGTGATCATAACTGCAAATTTGCGGTGATTGCGTGATTGCAACTATAAATCTGCAGCGCTCTTGTGATCGCAGCTGCAAATCTGTAGTGGTCTTGCAATGGCAAATGCAATTCTGCAGCGGTTTTGTGATCACAAACACAAATCTGCAGTGGTTTTGCAATTGCAAGAATAAATTTGCAGTGGTTTTGTGATCGCAACTACAAATTTGCAGTGGTTTTGTGATTGCAGCTGCAAATCTGCAGCGCTCTTTTGATCACAACTGCAAATCTGTAGCAGTCTTGCAATTCTGTAGCAGTCTTGTGATCGCAACTACAAATTTGCAGTGGTTTTGTGATTGCAGCTGCAAATCTGCAGCAGTTTCGCCATTGCAAACACAAATTTGCACAGGTCTTGCGATTGCACAAATCTGCAGCAGTTTTGCTGCTGCAAACTGCGTCGCTCGGCGTGTCTGAGTTGCACAGGGCACAGAGTTCGCAGCTGCGGGGAGAAAAATGCTTTTTGTGGCCTCAGCCCAGCCCCCTGCCCTGCTGAAGGAACAAAGCAGCTCTTGGCTGCAAAGGGCATCTTGGCTCCATCCCGGGGCCGGATCCCCATCCCGGGGCCGGATCCCCATCCCGCTGCGTTCCGGAGCCGCCCTGAGCCCCGTCCCCGTCCCGCAGCGGCCGTCGCGGGGGCCATGGCCTCGCTGCTGTCCCTCCAGGAGGAGAACCGCATCCTGCAGCAGGAGCTGTCGCGCGTCGAGGATTTGCTGGCTCAGAGCCGGGCCGAGCGCGATGAGTTGGCCATCAAGTACAACGCCATCAGCGAGCGGGTAAGTCACCAACTGGGTTACCCCAAACCCGCCCATTTTAACTCCAAACCCACCCATTTTAACCCCAAAATCAGGGCGATGCAAGCCGTAACTTTTGCATTCCCCATGCTCAGAGCGGGAGATGCTGTGGCATCTTGCACCATTCTGGCGATGAGAATTTTGGTGCTGTGCATCCAACTTGTCCGGACCCATCCCAGCTTGCCGGGGCTTGTCCTGCGGGATGCACAAAGCATCTTTATCCCTATTTTATTTATCCCGCTGCTTTTTGGGAAGCGGGGACCCCCCCGTCACCATCCCTCGCTTTTGCATCCCTTTGCTGTGGCAACGGAGGAAGAAAAGGGCTTTGGGCAGCGGCCAGATGCTGCACATGGCTCCTGGGGAGACCCGAATCGAGGGGCTGCTGGGTTTTTTGGGGGGCAGCGCCTCTGTTTGTGCCTGGTGATTTACAAAAAAAAAAGCAAATATCGGGAAAATGCCCCAAGGCGAATCGGCACCGCTTGGCCCGAGGATCCTTTAGCCATCGGCTACTCCTGTGCAAGCCAGGGTGGGGCTTTGCTGAACCCCCAGACTCAAAGCTGGGTTATTTTTCAAAGCACCACCAAATTTTCTTATTCATCCCCACCCCGTGCATGCAAAGAGAGGGGGATGCAAAATCTGAGGGGGGTCTCAGCTTTGGCTGGATGGGGGTTTGCTGTAGGGCCACCCGGCTTTGTCCGGGTTGGGGTGTTGCGAGTGAAGTTGGTGGGTGCTCAGTAGGTGCTGGCTGGGAGGGGTTCAGCATCCCGCTGGGTATCCCGGGATCTCCCGCCTCCCATCCCAGCTGGAGCAAACCCTGCGACTGGAAACGGGCGAGCGGGAGGCGGCGGAGAACCGGAGCTTGGCGCAGCACAACATCGAGCTGCGGCGGCTGCTGGAGGAGGAACAAGCCGCCTACAAGCGCAAGCTGCAGGCGTACCAGGAGGGCCAGCAGCGGCAGGCCCAGCTGGTGCAGAAGCTCCAAGCCAAGGTAAATCCTTTTCGGGGGACACGGGGACATTTTGGGGACCCCCACCAGTGTCACCCACCCCATCCCATCCACCCAGGTGTTGCAGTATAAGAAGAAATGCGGCGAAGTGGAGCAGCAGCTGCTGGAGAAGGCGACAGAGCTGGAGCAAGAGAGGCTGACGGTGAGGGATGGTTTTGGGGGGTGCCCCTGCCCCGAACCCCCCCAAAGCAGGGTGACGGCGAGCGGGCTGACGTCCCCGCAGAGCCAGCTGGATGCCAGCGGCTCGCAGCCGGAGGAGGAGAGCAGCAACGAGCTGGAGAATGCCCTGATCCGGCTGGAAGAGGAGCAGCAGAGGTGAGCGGGGGTCCCCGGGGAGCTGTGGGCCCCCCCGGGGTGATGCTGCGGCCCCGGGTGACCCCCCCGTCCCAGGAGCAGCAGCCTGGTGCAGGTGAACTCGATGCTGCGGGAGCAGCTGGAACAAGCCAACGTGGCCAACGCGGCGCTGAGCGAGGACATCCGCAAGCTGACGGCCGACTGGGCGCGGGCGCGGGATGAGCTGGAGCAGCGGGAGGCGGAGTGGAGGCGCGAGGAGGAGGTTTGGGGGGGCCCTGGGGATGCGGCAGGGAGCAGGACAGGGGGTGGCGTGGAAAGGGATGCGGGGAGGGATGGGGGACCACTGGGAGGGATGGAGGACGACCAGGAGGGATGCAGGACCATGGGAGATGTCACACGGAGAAGAATTTGGGGGTGCAGGGGATGTGGCATGTGAGGGGAGCGCGATGCGAGGCAGGGGGATGCAGGGGTGCAGGGAGGGATGTGAGACTGCGGGGAGGGATGCGGGGCCAGGGGGGATGTTGCACAGAGAAGAATTTGGGGGTGCAGGGGATGCAGCACGTGCTGGGAGGGCGATGTGAGGCAGGGGGCTGCGGGGATGTGGCACGGAAAGGGATGTGGGGCACCAGGGAGAGATGCAGGGCCACCGGGAAGGATGTGAGGCCATGGGAGATGTTACTCGGAGAAGAATTTGGGGGTGCAGGGGATGCAGCACATGACGGGAGGGCGACACGAGGCAGAGGGATGCGTCCCCCATCTCTCTCCCTGCAGGGTGGAAGGGAGGTGGGGAGGGGGGCCGCTGGCTGTGAGGGACCGCGGGGATGGTGGGTGCGGACATGGCGGGTGTTGCATGGAGATTTGGGGCCCAAGGGGAGAGGGCTGGGGGCCGGGGAGGTGGCGGGGCTGCCCGGGGGGCTGCAAGGCAGGGGTGGCTGCTCGGGGAAGGGACCCTCGCTGCCGCGGTCTGGCACCCGGCGGGCACCCGGCCGGGACCGACGCGGCTCCGTCCGGCGGGCAGTCCTTCAACGCCTACTTCAGCAACGAGCACAGCCGGCTCCTGACCCTCTGGAGGCAGGTGGTGGCCTTCAGGCGTCACTTCGGCGAGATGAAAGCCACCACCGAGAGGTCAGGGGGATCCCGCGGGGTGTCCCTGGAGGTCCCCGAGGACCACCGCGGCCCCAGCGCCGGCCAGCTCCAATCCTGCATCTCCCAACGCAGGGATCTATCGGAGCTGAGCCACGAGGCGTCGCGGACGGGCAGGGCTGCCCACGCTGCCTGCCTTCACCTGGCCGCCAACCTGCGGCTGGCCGCACAGCTGGAGGAGAAGATGGCGGCGCGGGCGCGGGACGCCGACCTGGAGAAAGCCGCCCTCGGAGCCAGGTATGGGGGATTTTGGGGGGTCACAGGGGATGGGCGCGGGGGGATCCGCTGCTGCCCGGCGTCTCGTCGCAGGTTGGCGGAGCTGGCGGCGGCCCTGGAGCGCCTGCGGGCTGAGGATGGGGAGAAGGAGCGGGCAATGGAGGCGCTGACCCTGCAGCTGCAAAACCTGGTGAGTGCAGGGCGTGATGAGTTTTGGGGTGCAAGGACGCACGCTGGGGTGGAGTGCATGCTAAGCTGTGATGCACCCTGGGGCAGAGTGCATGATGCACAGCAGGGCAGGATGTGTGCCAAGCCATGGTGTATGTTGGGGCATGATGCACGATGCATACCAGGGTAGGATGCATGCCAAGCTGGAATGCACGATGCAGACCGGGGCAGGGTGCATGCCAGGGTGCAGTGCATGATGCACACCAGGACATGAGGCACACCAAACCCAGGGGTGCAACGCACACGGAGCCACGATGCATGCTAGATCATGCTGCACGATGCACACCAGGGTGCGATGCATGCAGGAACACGCTGCACGCTGAGCTGTGATGCACACTGGGGTGCGATGCACAGTGCATGCTAGAGTGCGGTGCATGCTTGGATGCAGTGCACAACGCACACCAGGGTGCAACGGCAACGGATGTGCAGTGCACACCAGGATACGATGCGCACCGGGGCGTGACCCGTGCTAAATTCTGATGCTGCATGGCAGACGATGCGCGCTGGGGTGTGATGTATGATGCACGCTGAGCCATGATGCACACCGAGGTGTGATGCACGATGCATGCCGGGGCGCGGTGCGTGCTGGAGTGCAACGCACGATGAACACCAGGGCGCGTGCACAATGCACACCAGGATGCAACACACGCTGAGGTGCATATATGATGCATGCTGAGGTGCAATGCATGCTGAGGTGCAATGCATGCTGGGGTGCAATGCCCGACGCATGCCAGGGCATGATGGCCGCCGGCCATGCCTGACGCCACGCCGATGGGCTTTGCAGGAGGCCTCGCGCGCCCAGGAGCCGTCGCCAGCGGAGGTGGAGGCTTTGCGCTCAGAGGTGGAGCTGCTCCGTCAGACGCTGCAGGATGTCACCCAGGTGCTGGGGCTCCCCGCTCCTCCCTCCCTCCCTTGCCTCAGTTTCCCCTCCCTCCCTTGCCTCAGTTTCCCCTCCCTCCCTTGCCTCAGTTTCCCCTCCCTCCCTTGCCTCAGTTTCCCCTCCCTCCCTTGCCTCAGTTTCCCCTCCCTCCCTTGCCTCAGTTTCCCCTCCCTTCCTTGCCTCAGTTTCCCCCCTTCCTTGCCTCAGTTTCCCCCGTTCACCTCATTTCCACCTCCCTGCCTCAGTTTCCCTGCTTCCTTGCCTCAGTTTCCCTGCTTCCTTGCCTCAGTTTCCCCCCTCCCTGCCCCCGTTTTCCCCCCTCCTTTCCCCCCTTTTCCCC